GAGTAAGAACGGAAAAATACATAGAAAGAGTTTCCTAAGTTCAGTGATCGCTTGAGTGTTCAGTGCTCACTGCACGAGAATTAGTGGCAACTTTTCGTTGTGCATAGTTTTTTATATTCATTTATTTGCACTTTTTAAAGATTTTTCGTTATTTCTGTCCGTTTTCTTATTAATTGAACAAAGCAAGTCAGTTATTTCATTAGCAAGATTGAAATTTCAAATGATTCTTTGAACTACTGTGCGGTAAAACAAAAAATGCTATAAAAGTAGGATTGTAAGAAATTAATTTTAAATTTTGATGCAAATTGCATACAGAGAAAAATGTATTCAAGTTCATATAGGACGATTACAATTTTAAAACTGGACCTTCTCATGAAATTTTACGGGTGCAACGAAATAATTTATCGATTAAGGACTAGTCTTGAAAAGGCGTAAATCAAATGTTTAATAGTTCTTAATACCGCACCGATTACTTGAAATTGTTTCTCCAGGGGATAATTAAATTTTCATTGGGAAACCCGTAGATTTTTCTTCTATTAAAACCGAACCTTTTTCTATGTAAAAACCGTAGATTGACTCTTTTTCTATGGAAACTTAATTACCTTGAACAACATTGCCTTGATTAAAATGAAGGTGATGATCAATGATATTAATAATTACTTGATCAATAATCATATTCATTACTTGACACAAATTGCGTTCTGCTGCACTATTACGATCAGAGCACATCATAGAGAAAATTTTGACAAGACAAGCGATTTAATTAGTTCAGATTATGGCCTGGTCTATATTTATATATTTTTTAAGTGCAGTAGTGGAAAAATAATTCTATTTTTCTCGACCGAAAGATAATTTCGTGTTCCGCAAGTCACGTTGGACGGCTAACTCTGAGAAAACATTCGGGTCTGGAACACTCCGCATCCATTCACATGAACGCATATTTTTTTAGTGTCCTCGGTTAAAATCGATGTTTAAAGGGCTCGTTTTTGGAGATTATCATAAGCTGATGCCGTCAATAGTCATTTCAAGGAAATTGGAATTTACTTATATATTATATATTTTTGAAATGAGGTATTGCTAGTTGAGTTGAATTAACTTCATGGGTTGAATTCGAAAAAGCTTAATGTAAAAATGAAAACATTAGATCCCTTTAGTGGCGTAGCGTAAAGGGGGACACAAATCAAGTGCGAAGACTTACATTATATACAAGTCTGTCTTTCGACATAACATGCAACTTTTTCGCTCCATTTGTTAGCCCAATAAGGCTTCCTGCGAAATTTTGAATTTTCAACTCATCTTCATTGAATCATCTTTCTCAAAATTTAATGACCTGTTTATTTTGAAATTTATGATTTGCTGGGTTGCTGTTTTCTGTTTCATTTTTCTTTTGGTGCTGCGTTATTTTTTTTTGTGTGGTGCTAGGTTATGTTAGCTTAGGTTGCTCTCTCAGGTCTAGAGCCAGCCGCTCTCATGGCACTTGTCGGTGTATCGATCTTACCTCATGTCCATGACATTCTTCTCTCTTTATAAAATCTTAACGTGTTGTGAGTTCTCTACATATGCTTTATCATGTTCATGTGTCAATTCTTTCAACCAACACTACTAAGAATTACTCTCTTTAGACCTAATTTTTATCTTTAACAGTTTATAGAGACTCCTTTTACAACATTTTTCCACTTTCTCACTCTCTGCTCTCTTCATGACCGGCTGAAGGGCGCTATCGTTGCTCTCTATCTCTGGAATGTTCTCTCTTTGCCCCACCTTTCTGGCTTCAATTACTGTACAAGTTGTCGGTCACGATTAAATTAGATACTACGCCCCAAGACTTCTTTCTTTGTTTATTACTGTGTTATTTATTTGTTATAGCGTTATTATGTTCCCACCATTAATTTTATCAATAAATTGAAGCTTTGCGACATAAGGAAAATCATAACAATTAAAGAATTGCATATTAATGGAGAAGTATTGACGCAGCGTAAAAAAATTTTCTTATAATTATGAACAAGAATTTTACTCCACTCCTGATGTTAGTGAAAGAAAACACTATTTATTTATACTGATGCGATGTGTTCTCATTTGCAGGGTAATTACAAAGCATCGAAATATCCACAGATTGTATCATTTTTATCGTCAGATTAAGATTGATTTTTCTCAATGAATTTATTTTTTATTACGTGAATGCTACTTTGATTGAGATTTACTTACAGTTTCTGAAAATATTGGACTATTGATGAATTCAAAGGCGTTGAGTTCCGTTAAATTTGTACAATTTTATATAGGTTTGGTATAAGTTGAAACATACATTTACTCCACTGACGGCTAGAAAATAACTAAAATTGTACATTGTAAATTCGACCATGACAAGTTCCCACAAAAATAGGGATAAGATCTGAGCTGGGTATCTTTTGATCAGATGTCAGCAGATAAAACTACAACCAAGGGTCTGTTGATAAACCAGAGTCTACCATCAGCCCACAAACTCCTGCTGCCGCACAAGAAACAGCTACTGAAGGTATAAGTTCCGAATGTTTATCAAATATTGTTCTCGCTGAAAATTAACTCACCATCGATGAGACGGGAAAATCCGCAGGAGATCCAAAAATAACTACCAAAAAGTCGTCAGCTGAAAAGGAAAAACTTAATAATGAAGTGACTTCGAAGTCCGAAAAGAGTATGGAATCGGAAATGGAAAAAGATTCTCTTTCCCCAAAATCTAATGAAGCATTGCCGGCGGATGCATCGCAGGGCAAGGAAGCAATCGTCGATTTGTCGTCAGCCGCTCGTGAGACTGACGCTGGGTCGCTGCCCCCTGAAACCTCAATTGCATCGCCAGAAGTTTTGGGTCAGAAAGACGTCTATAAAATAACCGGGGAAAACAGGAAAACCCCCTCCCCTGTAATCTTGAGTCCTAAGGATCAGTCTGAAAATACCGAAGCCTCTTCTGTCACGCCAGGTCAAGGTGAGAAAAGAGACGATGACGAAGGGAAGGAAGAAAATATAATCGGTGATAACACCGTAACAAGTACAGCAAAAAAAGACGTAGGAAAAGTCTTCATGGTTAATGGTGATGCAGAGAGAGCCAAGGATGCGGCAATAATTACGACAAGTGGTGCAAGCGGTGTTGCCACAGATGATGAATTGCTTTCGGTTGAGAATAATATTGCGTGTGCATCAAAAAATTTGAGCGACAAGGATGATGATGATGTAGTGCTAATTGTTGAGAAAATAGAACCTGAAGAGAAAACTTCTGGTGATGATGACAGAAAAAATGTATCTTCACCTTCTGCTGAGGAGAAAATGGAAAAACTTGCAATGGATGTTGAGAAATACATCGTGGCCAGCATGGACGACCTCATCGAACCTGCAGTCAAGAAGGAGATCGCTGATCCTGCGCGCAGCGGAGCGCAGGACGGAGGCTACGGGGCGATCATCAAAGATGACGGCGAGGTGGTCGAAAATTTCACTATTGGGGCTAGGCCCTACTCTTGTGGTGAAAGCGTTGCTGCCAGAGAAAGTTCTGAGCAGGAGAGTCATCAAGCTGGAAATTCGAAGAAAGAGAAAGAAGAATTGTGTGATAACATAATAGATAGCATGCAAATAAACGGCTCGCCGGGAGTAGAAGCAGAAATTGCCGAAATAACTGGTGGCCGTATTATAGGCTCAACAGAACAATCTGATCAGCCAGAACAATCTGAACCCGACCTGGACGAAGGTGTCACTCAAATTGTGAAAAACACCGAGAGAATCAAAGATGCGGTTGAAAAAAATTTACTGAATGGAGATAAAGCTGAAATTGGAAATATTGTCATTGATGACAATGATTCGACAGAGAAATCGAAAGATGCTAGCCAAAATCTGTCAGAGGACGCAAAAAGTCACGATGAGGTTGTTGGTTCGGTGGATCAAGGGATCTCTCAGGAAGTTGATAGCCAAAAAGAGGGGTCAGGTCAGCTGACCGGAACTGATGAAGACGTCTCTTTACTTCAGAAAGAAGAAATAAAAACTGAAATAGAAATTCATTCCAGCGTCATAACATCTGAAGTTAGTGTCACTAGCTCACTTGTTGAGGAAATGAAAGTTAGTGAAGAAGTAGACGCTGACTGTAATGGCACCACTGTGACAGTTCAAAGAGAGATGATAGAACAAGTTGAGAGTTCTTCGTGTGTCACAAAAGAAACAACGCAAGCTGCTCTGGTAGCCACAAGTGAAGACGTAGGTGCTGAAACTGATGATCTTGTATGTGAAACAGCTAAACAAGAAACGATGATGGAAACTGTGGGAGAGAAAACTGAAGAAAACGTCAGTGCTGCAGAGCCCGTGGCAGATGAGACGAGCAGTGAATTGGAAGCTTCGTCATTGGCGAAAAAAACAAATGCGAGTGAAGATACTAATGAGAGCGTCGAGATAGAAACATGCAAGCAAGACGATATATCTGAGAACGATGAAATCATAAAAGAAACGAAAGAAATCGTAAGTGATGTGCAGAACGTCAAAGTAGAAATGAACAAGCAATCTGAAAAATCTGACAGCGTTTCAATCGTGGAAGAAACAGAAACGATCGAGTGTGATGTACAGCGCATCGAAGAAAAAATTAGCCAAAAATTTGAAAAATCTGAGAACGTTTCAATCGTGGAAGAAACTAAAGAGATCGGTAGTGAAGTACATCGCGTCGAAATGGAAATGAGCGAGCAATCTGAAAAATATGAGAGCGCTTTAATTGTGGAAAAAACACAAGAGGTCGATGGTGATATACAGCGCGTTGAAGTAGAAAGCAAACAATCACTAGAATCTGAGAGCTTGTCTGTGATGACAGTAAAAAAGTGTGAATATGGGTCTTCCACCAAAGAATCCAAAGAGGTTGAAACGAATGAGGAAACTTCCGCAATCGAAACTTCAGTGACCGAAATCTCTTCAAGTGAAGTTGTAGAGCATCACTATGAAGAATCTCAAGCTCTTGTTCTAACTGAAACTCGAAACAGCTCTGATACAAATGCTGTTGCCGCCATTGGTGAGCAGACTCAGCAAGCTGTAAAAACAGCGGATTCAGAAGAAGCTAGCGACTCCACGAAAAAGAAAATAGCAACGGCACCTAGAAGCGGTGGTCGCGTAAGCCGCAGGAGAAGCCCGACGAAGCCTTCGTCATCACGCCGAAGAATTTCTCGACCTGGTAAACTTGATTCTCAGGGTGGAGGTGCAAGGGTGGTTTAAAGTTTAGTCTTTTAGGCTCATATCATTGTCGGCCTTTCTCTACAAATAATCATTTATAATTTTTTAATATAATTACTGAAAACACTTATAATTACTTTTTATTTTATGGTACTTTTAAACTTTGTTTGTAGAAAGTTTAAAATTTATAGTGCGTGGGGCTTTTTCTGCGCGTAGTCGGTACCGATGAGAGGTACAGTAGAAGGACTTCTGTTTTTCCTAGGTGATCTGATGGGTATTGCTGCTACATGCGATTCTCGTACATGTTATTTTTCAAAATCGTCTGTATTACCGATATCTTATTTACCACACAGCAGTCATATTTAATTTGGTTATAGCTTGTTCTGATTTTCGTAACTTATCCTTACTGTTGGCATTTGCTTGCTGGAATCAATCAATTGATGATAAAATTTCGTATGTATGAACAGTCAATCACACGGCGCAACCGAAAAAATAGCAGGATAAATTTTATCAATTTATAAAAAATATGTCACTCTGAGTCTGATCGTGAATATTAACATATTTTTATTATTCTGAAGTGGGAATTTGCATTGCAATTTTTTTCATCGTCATCAATAGATCTGCGTCATTCGGAGTACCAATTAATCTATCCCATGGACGTTTGCCCGTTCAAGGAGGAGCTTCAACTAATGAAATGAAATTACAAAAATCAAGTTGAATAAAAGATCCAAAAATCACTAAAATGTGGTCTGAAAGTGTGGCATGGTCTAGATAATAAGTTTATACACGAACTGAACAGAAGCAATTTAACGTCTACTATTATACTTGTATAACCGTGAATATGCGCAATAGAGCGTTTTTTTTTCATTCTAAAATGCGAGCGTTTCGCATTGACGGTGAGATGACTGAGAAAATCGTGGTGTCATACTCATGGTTTAGCATAATTTTGCGCTGGTAGATTAAATTTTATCCTGTCGACGATTATTTCTTGGTTCTTTATGATAAAATATTGTTATGAAGAAAATACGTTCATTTTCGTTCACTCATTTCCTTCGCTGACTAAATGCACCTATGTTCTATGTAGGCAATGTTATTTCGTTTGATTTCTTCCCTTTCTACAAATTCTTCTCCATAACATTTTTTGGCAGTCATTATTTTTAACGAGTTTTGTCTTAAAAGAATCATGTCCGCATACTAATTTCGTAACCCTTCCTCCCACAGAAGAGGGCCACGACAGCGGCGTCGACGAGACAACACAGTCACAGGTAAGATCTATTTTCGCCTATTCATAATATTTACGAATATTCTATAATTTTTAAGTTCTAGATCCAAATAAATGTATAATTTTACTCCCTACTTGGTCACTCTGGCTTGCTGCGTATCCGTATTCGCTTAAATTAGATTTTTGGTTGGGCTCTTCAGAAAATTTCTTGATTCTTACCTCTTATGTCGTGCTATCGTGGAATTGCTTGTCTATACCATTTATTGTGACATCTGTATTTTTTTCAATATGCCTTTCATTTTATTTTTAAATTATTTTCTCAAGTCTCTGATCAATAGTCATTATTATGAATGAAGAGGATTGTCAGCCCATTATCGACAGTCGTTTTTTTTGGTTTCACAGTGAATTACAACAAAGAAATCGAATTTAATTTATAAGGTATGAATTTCCACGTTATATCTAAATTTATGGTGTTGATAGGTTGAAATTAATCAAGACCTCATTATTTAGTGAAGGAAAAATACAAAGTGCGAATGTTTACAAAATACAAAAATTAATTAATTAAGTAATTTTATTAGCTTAAATTTTGTGAAATTTCAATATTGAATTTTCAACTGGAGAAGTTTTTCATTCATTCAATAACCTGTCAAAATGAATGGCGTTTCATCTGAGTTTTCATAGAGACCAACGATCGAATCAAGGAACAGGGCTGCCAGATGGCCTAGAAAACGGCCAAGTCCGCAAACAAAAAAGGCCAAAAATGCGTATAACTAGTACTACTAAATATACTAGTATATTTGTAAGATACGGTGTAAAAATTCATTTTTTTGCAGTTTTTACAATTTAATTGGGAAGTACCCGTATCAGAAATTTTAACCGGCTAATGCAATTAAAAAAAATAAATCGCGGAATTTGTCCGGAAAAATGACCGTCTGGCAGCCCTATCAAGGACTTTAACTTTCATCAATCAAGTACGTGACGAGCTGAAGCGTGCACATCGTTGGCTCGTAACGCGCCATACAGCAGCCCGAATGCTGGCTATAGTATTGCTGTCGGCACGCAACCATTACGACTTTCAATTTTCCTGCTGTGAACGTGATACCGATAAACGTCTATAGATGAATATTAAGAGCAGACGTGTTAGCACACATATCATAATTTAGTCGGCATTCCCATACTGGAATGTACATATTTATGTTATGCGCTTATTTCAATATATATAACCTATCAAAATAAAATAAATTAACTTGGAAATAAATAAACGCATTGGCGGTTCACAGCAAATGAGGTGGTCGAAAAAAGTCTTAGATCGTGGGCAAAGAGATCCTCTTCGCCGCTCGTATACACAATAATTTATGATCAATCCGCCTTATTTCCAACGTGACTCATCTTCTGTATG